CCACTCCCCCACCCCCGTCCCACAGAGTAATTTAATCAAATGCATGTACTGATCAGTGCTCTGCTGAAGACACAAGTTGAAGCTTCTGCAGATCTCTGGAGTTCACTCTTGGTGTAGCTTTCTCCTCGCCTTGTTTCTGCCCTATGAACTTTAGCTGCCTTCACTTCCCTGAACTCTCAACTCTGTCTCCTCGATTCAGTAGACTGCTGTTCTCTGTCTGGATTCTGCTCCCTGCACTGGAAACTTTCCCAGGCAGAAAGATTGGGCCAGTCATAGAGTTCACACTGTTCATCTCTCTCAGAAACTAGTATCCTACATTGCCTATTGTTAATTGTCTGAAAAACCATTGTTTCATTAATTTTTTCCCTTGGATTAAGGCAGTAGGGTCAGTCTGGTCACTGTTACTCTGTCTTGCCTTGAGTTTATGGTACTTATCCCAAACTTTATTTATCGATGAGATTTTATTTTCAGCTGTTTTTGTTTTGTTCCATGATAGTTAATTACTGTTTTTTTAAGCATGTTTTTCCCCTTCTCATTTCTTCTCAGCCTTGCAATCCTCCTTTTCAGCTTGTTCTATTCTTTTCATTTTGAGCTCTCCTTTTTGCTTCAGGTGTACCAATTTTAGGGAATTTCCTCTTCTTACTGAGTTATGTTTTATTTCAGATTGGATTTTTCAAATGCCTTTTTTTTTGTCTGAGGGGGCATGTTTGCTTATTTTTATGTTTTGCTAAAGTGTGTTTGCATTGTTTCCACGACATTTATTTTTATCTTACTGAAGTTTAGTATAAGTGGTTCTTATCCTACCTTATATTGGTTACTATAGTGTGTCTGGCTTCTACAATTCTCCCTTCCTGTGGTATCTGATGGTATGGTGGAGCTCAGCCTAGATTATATTCAATTCTTTTGAGGATACTTTAATTTTGCCATTCTGAGATATTGTTAAATTCCGTTACTAAGTATTTGCCTCTCCTGCTGAGGGAGATATTCTATTCCCCTAGGATATACTACTACTTTAGTGTGGAGTTCTGTTAGACAACGCTAGCTAGCCTCACTTGTTCACTTATCCTGTTTTGCCTGATTCTAATAGAAAATTTTACTGTTATCACTACCACCAAGTCAGAAGAGGGAAAAGATAAGGATATCAATTCAATTCTTTTCCTTCTCTGGCGTATCTGAGAAATATCAGACTTTTGTGAATTCACCAGCATGATTTCTGGGGTTAAAAGACAGGAGTTGGAGATCAGCTTGTAAGTATGAATATTCCATTGCTTTTCTTAGCCAAACTTTGGTTTCTGCTGCTGGTTTTTTCCCCCTTTTGTTGTTTTAACTGAGTTTACTCATTTTGCTTGATGTAAAGGGCAAGCACTTTTTGGTTTTACTTTGCTTCAGTTTTACCCAGAAGTTACTAAATTTTATAGTTTATAGATAATATATGTGAACCAGATCTCTTGGTAATTACTTTAACTCCAATCCTTTCTTTTTTGAGTAGATAGAATGTAAATTTTCACTGTATCATTTTAAACTATACTGACTTTTAAAGTTCTTTTTCCAGATACCATGTTTGTGTGGCAGTGCCCCATGTTTGCTGTGCCGATGCTGTCCTAGTGGAAACAACTCCACTGTAACTAGGTTGATCTATGCCCTTTTTTTGCTTGTTGGAGTGTGTGTAGCTTGTGTAATGTTGATACCTGGAATGGAAGAACAACTAAATAAGGTTAGTTTTCTTTTTTTTTTTTAAATGATTAACTGAACCTTTAGTATGTATATGCATAAAACTGCTTCTTGTGTATTGGAAACAATACTGTAAAAAGGAAGAATACTTAATCTGAGTTTTAGTAGTTCATGATCATTTAGGAAAGACAAACAATGAAAGGCATCTTATTAAAATTCTCTGATAGTAGGGCAGAAAATGTGTTGTGTTAATATGAGGAAATCAGTAATTCTAACCAGGGAAATGTCAGAACCACTGTGGGTCTCATGGAAAAAGGGACATTCTAAGAATCAGTAAATTTTTGTATGCAGAAATTGAAAAATAGGAAGCAGAATGAGGATAAAAGCTTTTTGAGCTAAGTATGTATGCCTTAGGAAGATTTATCTGATAATTAGGATAGAAGGCAGCAGTTAAGTATGGTGGCTGTTGGAATGGTGTAATCAAGAAGGGCATAGAGGGCCTGAAATAATTCTCTGAATGTAGAATTGACTGAATCTGGATTTAAATATTGGTAATGATAGAATAATAAATAATAACCAGGTTCTGATCCTAGATAACTGAGAGGAAACTGTTGCTGTTAACTCGGGAAAAAAAAGAGAGAAAAGGTGTTTTATTAAACTTTTTTTTCCCCCAGGGAGTCAGGTTGTGCAAAGAGAGGGGGAAAATATAATCTAGTATATAATATGTTAGCTTGTGGGTACTGCACCACATTGTGTGTGTGTGTGTGTCCAGCAGGAAGTAAAATATTTGGGTGTGTAACTCATAAAAGAAATCAGAGATAGACATGAAATTCAAACTATGGCAGCATATGCTGAAGAAGACCATTTGGAGTGAGGAGAGCTAGAGCTTTGAGAAAAGCTCTTAAGGGAGTTGGTGGAGAAAAGGGAACCTCTGAAGGAACAGTGAAAAAAGAGAACCAAGAACCTGTTTAGTAGGCCTTAGGAACAGAGTCTTAAGAATGACAGCATAATGTCTGTTTAAAAAAGGTAAAGGAGTGTGAGGATTAAGAAGTAGCCTTGGAATTTGACAGCCAGTATATGTCTAGTGTCTTGAAAAACCATTTATAGAGTGCTGGCCTAGAAGGATTGGGAGGGAGAGTTAGATGGCTGTGAGGAAATGGATCCAATGAGAATAGACTGCTGATTTAAGGAGTTTTGTAATGCAGATAGTAAGTCTTAGAGGGAGGCTGAACTAAAGAAGTTTTTAGGCTGGGGAGATTTAATTATTTGTATTTTCAGAATAGTCATAAGGGATCTAACCCGTGAGAGAGAATGTGATCAAGAGAAGGCATATAGAAGTTACTTTTTCTCCAAGGAAAAATGAATGACAATAGAAAATTTGAGGTTGAGAGAGTGTTTATGTCAGATAACCTCCATTTTAAACCATAGTTGTCTGCTTAGGGTTGACTTTGGGGTAAGGAAAAATCGTGTAAGTTTGGGAAATGAGCTTATTACAGTTTCAAAGTAGCATTGTACATGGCATATGTAGATGCTCAGTTAATGTTATTCAGGTCCTTCGTGTAAGCAGAAGATGTTCATATGTTTTTTGTCATGGATCCAGTTGACTGTTGTGATGAATGGTTTAGTTGATAGATGTTAGTTAGTTTGTAACCCCCAATGTTTCTGCTTCTCTGCTTTCTGAAGGTCATCAGAGAATTGCATTTCCTAGAGTGCTTGTGATATGTAGGGTCATGTCTCTAGTACTGGTCAGTGAGTTATGAGTAGAAGTGATAAACATCACCCTCTACTTGCTAATGCAGATTCTCCTTTCTTTTCTGTCACAACCTGTGGCAGCCTGGATTCTTTTAGTTGACTACGTAGAACCAACCATGTACATGTACGTGAGCAAGAAATACATCTTTGCTGTTTAAGCCACCTATATTTGGAGGTTGTTACTGTAGCAACTTAAGCTGACTAATATAGGTGATTGAATTAAAACTTAATGATGGGAATTAGCCAGGTGGTGTGCTGCTCTCATTTAAGGGCATGGGATAATTAAGGGTGCTAGTGAGTACATGTTGCAAGTGAGTATGGGTAAGTACATATTGCCATAATTGTTAAACTAAGTTGGGAAAGTAGGGTTCAAGTGAGACCAAGAAAGAGCTTATAGACTGTACAGGAGCTAGCAAAAAGGAAGTAGCACCTGCATCAACTTAAATATAATTTTAGGTTCTTGATTTTAAAGGCACATATTAACAGCTGTATTTTGGCATATTGGTTTGCTTTAATGTTTCTAGAGGCAGTAATTCACTCTGATATATGTGAATAGTGTATCTACTCCCATTTATTTCACTTAAAAATATTTTAAAAATACTTTCTTGTACTCTGATTTCAGTGTGATTTTCTGAAATGGTCATCAGTCTTTTTTAAGATAAAAGATAAAAATACAGCCAGCCATTTTGCTGTTAATCCAAATCCATCCATTATCAGAAATAACACTTGTAGAATGAGGGACCAAAACTCAAAATGCCATCATGATTCTCTTTAGTATTTAGAAACTGATTTAGTTACTCTGTGATTATTTACACTTTTATTGATTGTATTTTTCTCTTATACATGTGATTGAGTATATCCCAGTAGAATGCAAGTTTTAAAAAAAACTTAGAATAAGTCTGCATGTTAAAATAAGCATCCACTTTAGGATTGACATTTGTAGCTTATCGGTGCTCACATAAAGTAAAAAAAGAGTTACATTTCTGTCTTATGAAAATGTGTAGACTTAGCTTGATTACATTTCAGCATAAACTGTAAAGTGAACTTCAATTTTCTAAACCTTAAACTATTTGATTACAGAATTTTTATTTTTTTCTTGAAAAAATTCTAGATCACAAATTCTTGTTTTGTTTTCAGATTCCTGGATTTTGTGAGAATGAGAAAGGAGTGGTCCCTTGTAATATTCTGGTTGGCTATAAAGCTGTATACCGTTTGTGCTTTGGCTTGGCTATGTTCTACCTACTCCTATCTCTATTAATGATCAAAGTGAAGAGCAGCAGTGATCCTAGAGCTGCAGTACACAATGGGTAAGGTTTTTAACAAACTTCAATATAAAGTCTGGATAGTCTCTTCTCAGTAATTTTGAGTCTGTCTAAAGAAAGTTTAAGGTAAAATAAACTTGAACAATCTGCAGAGTTATTTTATTCATGAATGACAAGGTAAGAAAATCCTCTTGTCTCTATTAGAGAATGTGTTGGAATTTGGAAATATAAATACTAAATAGTAGCCTTGGGTCATTTATTGGTATAGTCTCTGCATTATGTTTAATAAAGTTGACCCTTGTGAACAACGCAGGTTTGAACTGTGCAGTTCCACTTTATACGCAGATTTTTTTCAACAGTAAATACTACAGTGTACTACACAATCCATGTTGATCTCTAGTTGAATGAATTCACAGATGAGGAACCTCGGATACAGAGGGCCGACTATAAGTTATACATGGATTTTCAACCATGCAGAGAGTTGGCACCCCTAACTCCAGCATTGTTCAAGGGTCAACTGTATTTTCATCCTAAAAAGGAAGATTTATCATATCTGTGACTAATAATGAGGAGCTTATTCCTCCTTCTCCTCTTAGCTTTTTGTAGGCCAATCTCACTACATAAAACTGAACTCAGTTCCTAAGATGTACAGTGCAGCCAAAATGAAAAACTTTATTCCTTTGAAACAAGGTGATTGATTGATTTTCTAAATGGTTATACTGAACAGCCTAGAAACTTCAGGGTCCCTTTTATCAGTCTCCCTTAATATAGAGCACTACTTCTCACACTCAATTTTGAATGTTTTGAATTTTATCACTTTTTTCCCCCCATAAATTAAAAAAATTTTTTTGGAATATCTGCTGTTGCTTGTCTATTAACATGCTACCAAAGACAAGAAAAATGAACAAGTGAAATATTAATGAAAAAAGATGTGCTGTGTCAGGTTGATTTTATTTTATTTTGTTCCCTTAGTCATTGGTTGTTTTAATTTTAATTTTTTTTGCACTCTTAAAACATCTTTACTAAATGTATTTTTTTTTTTTTTTTTTTGCGGTACGTGGGCCTCTCACTGCTGTGGCCTCTCCCTTTGCGGAGCACAGGCTCCGGACACGCAGGCTCAGCGGCCATGGCTCACGGGCCCAGCTGCTCTGCGGCATGTGGGATCTTCCCGGACCGGGGCACGAATCCGTGTCCCCTGCATCGGCAGGCGGACTCCCAACCACTGCGCCACCAGGGAAGCCCACTAAATGTATTTTTAAACACTTCTTAAAATGCATTACAGGGTGGCTATCACAGTCATTTCATGAGATAACATTATTCTCAAAACATGCACTAAGCACTCATGTCACTGTTAATGTTTTTTTTTAAATTGAGTTATAATTGACATATAACATTGTGTCAGGTTTAAAGTGTACAAAGTGTTAATTTCATACTTTAATATATTACAATATGATTACCATCGTAGTATTAGCTGATACCTCTATCACATCACGTAATTATTATTTCTTAGTTGTGACGAGAACAGTTAAGATCTAGTCTCTTAGAAGCTTTAAAGTACATTTTTCTTTTTCAGATTCCACATATTGGTAATATCATAAATGTTTGTTTTTCTTTGTCTGGCTTATCTCACTTAGCATAATGCCCTCAAGGTCCATCCATGTTGTTGCAAATGACAGGATTTCCTTCTTTCTCGTGCTGAATAATATTCCATTGTGTATATATACTATAGTTTCTTTATTCATCTGTTGACAGATACTTAAGGTTGTTTTTATATCTTGCCAATTATGAATAATTCTTCAATAAACATGGATGTGCAGATATCATTTCAGTACCCTATTTTCACTTTCTTTGGATATATATTGTAGAAGTGGGATTGCTGGATTGTATGGTAGTTCCATTTTTATATTTTTTTGAGGAAACTTCGTACTGTTTTCCATAGTGGCTGAACTAGTGTACATTCCCAGTAACAGTGCATAAGGGTTCCCATTTCACCACGTTCTCACCAACACTTGTTATTTCTTGTCATCATGATAGCCATTCTAATAGGTCTGAGGTGGTGATATCTCATAATGGTTTTGATTTACATTTCTGTGATGATTAGTGATGTTGAGCACCTTTTCATATGCCTGTTGGCCATTTGTATGCCTTCTTTGGAAAAGTATTTAGTTCCTCTGTCCATTTTTTAATTGGATTGTTTGTTTTTTTAATGAGTTGTATGAGTTCTTTATATATATTTGATATTAACCACTTTTTGACAGATGGTTTGCAAATATTTTCTTCTATTCTGTAAGTTGTCTTTTCATTTTGTTGATTGTTCCTTTTGCTTTGCAGAAGCTTGTTAGTTTGATGTAGTCCCACTTGTTTGATTTTACTTCTGTTGCTTGTACTTTTGCTGTCTCATCCAAAAACTCATTGCCAAGACCAATGTTGTGGAGTTCCTTCCTTACTTTCTTCTTCCCAGTATCAGCATCTTTCTAGTATTGATATCTTTTATGGTATCAGGTCTTAAATGTTTAAGTCTTTAATTCATTTTGAGTTAATTTTGTGAGTCGTGTAATAAAGGAGTCCATTTTCATTTTTCTGTGGTTACCCAGTTTTCCCAAGACTGTTGAGGAGACTGTCCTTTCCCCATTGAGTGTTCTTGACTCCCTTGTCAAATATTCGTTGATCCAAAATGGAAGGGTTTATTACTAAGCTCTCTCTATTCCATTGGTCTATTTGTCTACTTTTATGGTACTACTGTTTTAATTACCGTAGCCTTGTAGTATAGTTTGAAATCAGTAAGTGTGATATTTCCAGCTTTGTCCTTCTCATGGCTGATTTGTCTATTTGGGGTCTTTTGTAGTTACATACAAATTTTAGGATTGTTTTTTCTATTTTTTTGTAAGTGGCATTGAAATTTTTATAGGGAGTACTTTGAATCTATAGGTGGCTTTGGGTAGTATGGACATTTTAACTCTTCTTCAGATCCACAAACACGAGTTATCTTTCCATTTGTTTGTGTTTTTTTCAGTTGTTTTTTTTTAATTCAGCCACTGTGCCTTTTGGTTGGTGAATTCATTACATTTACATTTAGCGTAATTATTGATATGAAGGACTTATTAATGTCATCTTATTCATTGCTGTCTGGCTGTTTCATATTTCCATAATTTCTTTTTTCTTTGTTAACGCCTATGTAAATTGGTGATTTTCTTTGTAAATTGGTGGTATGGTCTGCTTCCCTATTTTCTGTAAATCTACTTTAGGTTTTTGCTTTGTGGTCACCATGAGGCTTACATAAAACATCTTATAGATAAAACAGCCCATTTTAAGCTGATAGCAACTTCAGTTGTATACAAAAGCCCTACCCATTTACTCCTCTTCTATTTTTTTGATATCACAATTTATCTCTTTTTATATTGTTTATCAATTAACCAATTATAATAGCTATTGTTTTTTAATACTTTTTAATCTTTATACTACAGTTATGTAGTTAACACACCATGCTATTAAAGAATTAGATTTTTCTAAATCTGTGTATTTCCATTTACCAGTGTATTGTATACTTTTGTATGTTTTCATGTCACTAATTTAGTGTCTTTTCGTTTCAACTTGAAGAATTCCTTTCACCATTTTTTACAAGACAGGTTTAGTGGTGGTGAATTCCTTGGATTTTGACTGGGAAAATCTTTATTTCTCCTTTGTATCTGAAGGATAACTTTGCTGGACAGAGTCATCTTGGCTGGCATTGTTTTCCTTTCAACACTTTGAGTATGTCACTTAAAGTCATTCTACTCTCTCTTGGCCTATAGGGTTTTCTACTGAGAAATCCACTGAGAGCCTGATAGAAATGACTTTGTAGATTACAATCTTTTTTCATCTAGCTGCTCTTAGGATTCTCGCTTGTTCTTTGATTTGTGACAGTTTTCATTATGTGATATGGCTTAAAAGGTTTGTTTGCATTAAGCTGATAGTGTGATCTGTTAGCTTTGTGAACTTGGATGTCCAGATTTAGGAAGTTCTCAGCTATTGTTTCTTTTCTTTCTTTTTTTTTTTTGTGGTACGCAGGCCTCTCACTGTTGTGGCCTCTCCTGTTGCGGAGCACAGGCTCAGCGGCCATGGCTCATGGGCCTAGCCGCTCCGCGGCATGTGGGATCTTCCCGGACCAGGGCACGAACCCGTGTCCCCTGCATCGGCAGGCGGACGGACTCTCAACCACTGCGCCACCAGGGAAGCCCCTCAGCTGTTATTTCTTTAAATAAACTTTTTGCCCCCTTCTTCCTCTCTTCTCCTTCTGAAACCCAATCATTCTAATATTTGAATTCCATAGATTACTGAGGCTTTCTTCCCTCTTTTTCATTTTTTTTCTCTGTTCACCCCTGATTGGGTTATATCAAAATTCCTGTCCGCTTTTTCTGTCTTCCATTTGATCTGCCCTTCTGAAGATCTCTATTGTATTTTTTCATGTCTTTTGTTGAATTTTTCAGCTCCAGAGTATGTTTGGTTCTTTTTTATGATTTCTGTCTCTTTGTTAACTTTCTCATTTTATTCATGTATTTTTTTCCTGGTTTTTGTTGAATTATCTTTGTGTTTTCTTATAGCTCAATGAGTTTTCTCAAAACAGCTGTTTTGAATTCTTTATCTGCTAGACTGCAAGATTTTATGCCTTTGTGTTCAATTATTGCAGGATTATTGTTATCTTTTGGTGGTGAAATGTTTTCTTGATTCTTCATGTTCCTTGTAGTTCTGCATTGCTTTCACATTTGAAGTAGCAGATGCCTCAAATCTCTACTAGGTGTCTTCAGATAAGGTAGGTTATTGATCCTGTTATATCTAGGGTTCTCTCTGACTCTGAACACCTGCTTCTCACTTCTTGTGCCTTTCTGTGGCAGAATTCTTAAACTTTTATGTCTTCTCTGGTTCTTTCAACTCCTCTGGCTAGCTAGTGGAAATCTGTTTTCCAGGCATTTATTGTGTGTTTTCAGAACTATTCATTTGTATAGTGTACCTTATTTACACTTTCATATACACCAATTATAATAGCTATTGGTGTATATGTAAAATAAACCTGTGAAATGAAACTAATATTCTCGTTTTATCATAATGAATTAAAACTGTCCTAAAATAGTTTACATGATATTCTTCACTTCTCGTTTTCAGGATATCCTCAGAAAGAATAGAATTGTCACATAAAGTGTAGCTGTTCTTTAAGAATAGCTCTTCAAAGATTTCATATGTGAAACTACTTGTTGAATGAATATTAATAAAAAATTATTTTTTTGTTTTAGATTCTGGTTCTTTAAATTTGCTGCAGCAGTTGCAATTATTATTGGGGCCTTCTTCATTCCAGAAGGAACTTTTACAACTGGTAAGAAATCTTTTTTTTTCTTTAATTGTGTGATGTTGATATTTTATAAGGAAATTGAAATAATTGTTGCCTGGAACTGTAACTATTTGTTTTGTTTTTTCCTCCCCCCCCCCCCCCCCCCCCCGGCAAAATCGAGGCATTTATGTAAAATTTTATTTTTCCTTTTGTGTATTGATTGTGAAAATGAAATAATGAAAAGTGAACCAGTCACTCATTTGTGGTTTTTTGCTTTTTTCTTTCAGTGTGGTTTTACGTAGGCATGGCAGGTGCCTTTTGCTTCATTCTCATACAGCTAGTCTTACTCATTGATTTTGCCCATTCATGGAATGAATCATGGGTTGAAAAAATGGAAGAAGGGAACTCAAGATGTTGGTACGCAGGTAAGCTTTTTGTCTTACAGAACATCTTAAAGATAGCTGAAGTTTGAAAGTGAGAGCAGATATGTAGACTATGGGAAAATCACAATTTTTATGGTATAATTTTCTGTGAGGAGGTTTTTAGCTTAAGTTTGTGAGTGGCATCTTATCACATTATATCAGCAACTTTACTTGTAGAGTTTTTGGCATGTCAACTAGGAACATACCCAAGAACCAGGAAATAATCCAGAAGACCATGAATGGCTAAAATAGAAGTTCCAAAGCCTATGGCTGAATGCATGTATATTTTACAGCCTAATTTCCTGGGAAGCCTACAGAAGGTTAAAAGTAAAATATTAAAGGGACGAGGACTGCTAGTAATAGATGAACAAACAGTGGTACAATTCTTAAGCAGCAGCAAGCAGGAAAAATAAAAAAGCAACTCTGAAACATTTTGCTTAAGTGCAAAGAATGCCCTATGTGTAACTAACACCTAAGGGAATTTCTACAGTAGTGTTTTAATGTTTATTTATAATGATGAGCTTGAGTCCTGTGGTTATACTCTAAAACAGGGATCAAAATTCAGATGCTTTCAACAGGTAACAAAATGAGGGGGGAGAACCAGGTTTAAGTGCATTTTCAATCCTTTTGCAAATAGAAGGGACTGTGATGAATTGGAGAGTGTAAAGGCCTTTATCTAAAATGCATATAGCTACTGCTCAGTTCCATCGAGTAGTTGCCTTGTGGAAATGTGAACCCAGTGTTGCTTAACTTTTCTGATTTTTCCAAAAGAAGCCATAAATCTGGATTTTTATGTGCAATGATCTGAGTTTCAGCTAAAAAAAAAAGAACAATTTTTTTTTTTTAAATCAGAGTGAAAGCTAAATCCAGCATGTCTGCTAGCTTCATATTTTCTCTCATACAACTAGTTTGTGGTATTTGATCTCAGTGGTTAAAATAAAGGGTTTGGTATTCAAAGAAATGAACTTTGGTCATTTGGAAAATTTACTTATATAGAATATCTCATTTTTTAATGTTAAATCTAGTGTAAGAGTTTCTGCTTTGTTCCCTACTATATCCCTAGGGCCTTTGTAGGTATTCAGTAAATATTTGTTTGATGGATCCCCTGTCAGTGAGGCACATCGACATAAATACATGTATATTAAGCATACATTAGCACAGAAACTAAAACGTGTGTGTGTGATAGAAGAAACTTAGGTTGTCTTATTAAATAATAATGACTTACTCTTGAATAATTTTTTTTAAGATTTTAGTTGATGAGGAAAAGCATTGTTTTGCAGGCTTAGCATTAACAAAATAATTTTCTTAATGCCATTGTTTACAACTGAATGATTATCATTCTTTAAAAACCTTAATATTCCCCTCCTAGTTATTTTTCTGTATTTTGAAAATAATGGCTAATACATCTGAATGTGTTTTGGAAACTCTATGAAGATCATATTAGTATGTTATTGTCCTTGAAAACACATCATCATAATGAGCTATATATAAAGACTATAAAATTCTTAATGTGATAAAGCTCAGAATATCTTTACCTGCTTATATAGCCTATGTAATGCTGACACAATGTTAGTTGCTTAAAGTAATATTTTTGAATGAAATAAGATTGCTTGTAAAATGAGCGATATGCCTAATTCCTAATATTAGTGATAAAATCTAATTGTCCAATGTATTTCTTTCACAGCTTTGTTATCAGCTACAGCTCTGAATTATCTGCTGTCTTTAGTTGCTATCGTCCTGTTTTTTGTTTACTATACTCATCCAGCCAGTTGTGCAGAAAATAAAGCGTTCATCAGTGTCAACATGCTCCTCTGCCTTGGTGCTTCTATAATGTCTATACTGCCAAAAATCCAAGTAAGCTTGGATTAGTTCATTAATGTTTATGAAGCTTCTATTTTTTAAGTTTTCCTAAATCTTGAATGATAACAATATTTTTCTGTTTTGCTTATTTTTTTGTAGGAATCACAACCAAGATCTGGTTTGTTACAGTCTTCGGTAATTACAGTCTACACAATGTATTTGACATGGTCTGCTATGACTAATGAACCAGGTATGTTCGTTTGCTTGGATTTGTTTCTTTTTAATGAATCCTACAGCTTTTCTTTTTTCAAAGATGGTCATTTTGTAAAATTAAGCTCACAGAGAAATGAAAATGGGAATACTATTTTCATCTTTGATGTATTGCTACATTTTTTCACTTAGTTGCTTCTTTCACTAGCAAAACTATAAGAAATTATATGAAAATTATAATATACCTAATTTGTACAGTGCATATGATAGTATATGTAGAAAGAAATAAGAGCTGTTAAAATGTTTGTTGATTCTACTGTAAGTAGTATAGTTTTTTTCCACCTATTATTTTTTGTCTGTGATTACCTTAAAAGTGAATATAATTAATTGGTCTTTGTAATCTTTTTATAGGCCAGTTTTATTGCATTCTGTGGGAGTAGAAGCCTGTATATGTCATTTGCAGTGAAACAAATTAGAAGTTAATAATTACAGTCGACCCTTGAACAACAGAGTTTTGAACTGCACAGGTCCACTCATCCATGGATTTTTTTCAAATATATGTACTGCATTACTACACGATCTGCAGCTATGAATGGCTGGATATGGAGGCCAGCCATAAAGTTATATGCAGATTTTCGACTGTGTGAGGGGGTTGATGCCCCTAATCCACTTGTTGTTCAAGAGTCAACTGTACTGTTTTTTTGAAAAAGAAAAAAATGGTCTCTCTTCCTCAGAATAAAGAAAAATTATAAAATGTTTTCTGAATCTTATATTTCATTGAGTTTATAAATTTTATAGGTGCTTTATCACTAGTTGGAGAAAATTTTTTTTTTTTTTTTAGTTTATTAGAGAAATTTTCCTTATATTTGTCCAGGTAAGTGTCTAGAAAAAAACTAATAGTAATTTGCTTTAGGGATTATCCTTATATGAACGACTTAAAGATAAAAAACATTTTTCATTGATAAGGTGGCAATTGACATATCTGGCTTTGTGGGAGGAAAACATGTGGGACACTTAAGTGGATACCAACCCTATTTAAATTCTTTATTTACGGGAGTCAAGAAGCTGAATAAGCATTAGGTCATTATGCCTTGTTTGCTCATTTCCACAAACTATTTGCTAAAATTCTAGTAACTGATTTTATGTATAAACTATGTAACAATGTAGTTTGGCAAATTGATAATAACAATAGTCACTTTATTAAGTTTATCTCACCGTGTGTAATAGAAAAGCCAGTGCATTTTAGTTTAGAATATCTGAATTTTATTCTTAACTCTACTTGAGCTTTGCTTTAGAGAGGTCATCTAAATTTCACCAGTTTCCTGATCAACGAAAAGCTTAATGTCTCAGCTCCTGCATGAGGTTGAAGATGAAATTATTTTCCAAGCACGTCTATAAAATTAGCACTATAAAATTTTTATAAACAGGTGTCTATAAATAAAGTTGTCTTAAAGTACTTTTTTGTTTGTGCTTTTCTAACAAAATGTTTTGAATTTGCAAGAGTATAAGAGTTAAAAAGAACTACATTGTGCTCTGAAAAAATTTTTATACTAAGATTTTAATTTGACCTTAATTTACATTATAGAAACAGAGTGCAACCCAAGTCTACTGAGCATAATTGGATATAATACAACAAGCACTGTCCCAAAGGAGGGACAGTCTGTACAGTGGTGGCATGCTCAAGGAATTATTGGACTAATCCTCTTTTTACTGTGTGTGTTTTATTCAAGGTAAGAAAAATTATGGATTTTCATTTTTTTAAAAGTCCAGCTATTATTCATATATGAATCTTTAAATTCCCTTTTTTTCCTTCTTTCTAAACTGTCTTCCATGCAGCATCCGTACTTCAAACAATAGTCAGGTTAATAAACTGACTCTAACAAGTGATGAATCAACATTAATAGAAGATGGTGGAGCCAGAAGTGACGGATCACTGGAGGATAGAGATGATGTTCACCGAGCTGTAGATAATGAAAAGGATGGTGTCACTTACAGTTACTCCTTCTTTCACTTTATGCTTTTCCTGGCTTCGCTTTATATCATGATGACCCTTACCAACTGGTACAGGTACTTATATTTTATGAAAACTTTGCATGTGGAAACTGATGGCTTTTTTGTGATTCCATTGTTAAATGTGGTATGGAGTACTTTTTAATCCTCCAATATATTTCAAAATTTACAACTAAATGAATAGTGAGATCAGTTCCAGAAATGCAGGCTTTATTTCCTTGCTTCAGCAATAACAATCATAGAAATATTTCCACATCTTGAAGAGACTGAAATAAAGTTTCATGAAACTAACACATTGCTTAGGGAAATACATGTTGACAGTGGATCAAACACAATGCTTGCTTTTCTTTTTAATACTGACTAACCAGTTCCCAACATAGTGCAATAAAAAGATACCCTTCTTCTGTTTTGTTCAAACTTTGTTATTAAAATTTTTGAAGATTTCAAAATTGAGAGGCGAATACATTAACATAGATGGATTCTTAGAATTCTTCAAAACTAATTTTTGTTTTTTTATCACTTCAAAACTAATCTTTTTGAAGATTAGTTAGTTGGAAGATAGCAGTTTATATTTTGTTTTTAAAAATTCTAATTTTGTCCAAAGGACTACTGAAAGATTTAAGATTCAAGTTGAACTATGTGGTTAGGGCAGTTCTATTTTTAATAATTTTTAATGCGTAATTTCCGTAACAGTTTGTAAGAGGGCTTTGAATACCATCAAAAGATGTAGAGAAAAGATTATTCTTTGCTTTATTTCTTTGAGAGCAGCCTCTACCAGCATTTATTATTGAAAAATACATATATTTTAAAATTCCTACACTGCAGTTTCTTAAGGTATACAAACCCAGATAGTTCTCAGTAATTCACAGCTTTGGCTGTCAGGTTAATAGTAAATGTTAAGATTAGATGAAAAATATTTTTGGTATGTTTCATCAACATAAAAGTCAGCTAACTTTGGGATGTATTTCCTTCCTAGTTTCTTAAATCTGAGAAGGTGGAGGGGGTTCCCATATACACTCTGAACAGATTATATTCTTTATAACATAAAGACTTACCAATTCTATTTATCTAGAGGTCACACTCCATTTCTCTATCTCGTAATTAGTGAGCCAGAAAAACATAAAGATTTTCTGAGTATTATCTAAAAGAGCTATTTCAGAGGCCTATGTCCTCTACTCCTTTAAAGGAAATTGATTTTACCTTCACATTAGCTATCAAAGTGGTGTGGAAAAGCAAAGCAACAGATAATTAGTCCAGCAACTATATATCTGTTATCACAAATTATATACAAAGAATATTTCTGAAGTAATGAAGCCTGATGGCTTGATGACCGATAATCCAACCTCTCCCCCCTTTTTGTTTTCTTTAAATTTTAGGTATGAGCCTTCTCGTGAGATGAAAAGTCAATGGACAGCTGTCTGGGTGAAAATCTCTTCTAGTTGGATTGGCATTGTGCTGTATGTTTGGACACTGGTGGCACCACTTGTTCTTACAAATCGTGATTTTGACTGAATGGGACTTCTGGCATGAAAGTCTCACTTTGATCATCACTTATTTGAAATTAACAGTATTCCCAACTTTTGTAAAGTTGCGTATATGTGTGCCTCCCCTGTAACTTCTTCAGTGTTCTGGCATGAATTAGATTTTACTGCTTGCCATTTTATTCATTATAGTCTTGCCAAGCACATTGATAGGTGTTTTAGATTGAAGCAGTTCTGAGTATGTTGGTGGTGGTAAGTTAGAAGTGGTTTATCCTTTGCTCAGTACCTGTGAAAAGAATAAAAACAAAACTGCTTGACAGTTTGATTTTTAAATTGTGTTAGAACTTATGCTGTTTTAGAAAAATACGAAATTTATGGCTGCCTTCTGAAATATTTGATGCCTTGCCCTACAGGATACTGCAAAGAACATGGCTATCCTAAAATTGTATAAACAAGTCAGTTACATGCCAGTTTTCTAAAAAATCTTTTCAGATTTTTCCCTTGATAGGAAGAGAAGGAACTTACACAGGTGTGGAGTGTTTGATTGACAACAGTGTAGCTTATGGTGGAGACTGAGATACAGAGCTTTCAAAGAAAGATTGCTGGTGGTGGGTACTAAATTGAATACCCAAGTTGGTTTGTAATGATTCCTGGGTAGGGATGGCATTCCATACTTACATAGTGAACTCTGTTTTGGTCATTATAAACACATGCAGATATGTTAAAATGTGTTCAGTGGAGTGATTAGGAACTCTGAAGGATTTAGACAAAGGCCTTGAAAAGGATAATCATGGGTTAGAAGGAGGTTGAAAATCACTTGGAAATTTCGTTTTGAAAATCAGAGTTGATAAACTTTTGACAGAACAGGAAGAAACTGCAAAATAGGCTTCAGTAGACAAAGTCTCATTTAGTTTTCTCATTTAAAAAATGAAGAAACTGGGCTTCCCTGGTGGCGCAGTGGTTGAGAGTCCGCCTGCTGATGCAGGGGACATGGGTTCGTGTCCCGGTCCGGGAGGATCCCACATGCCACAGAGCGGCTGGGCCCGTGAGCCATGGCCGCTGAGCCTGCACATCCAGAGCCTGTACTTCGCAACAGGAGAGGCCACAGCAGTAAGAGGCCTGCGTACCACAAAAAAAAAAGAAAGAAACTGAAGAATAGGCTTAAACACAGCTAATCAGTGGCAAAGCTGGGAAATCCCAAGTCTGTCAAAACAACTGGCATTCTTTCTGGCATTCTTTCTGACATTCAAAAATAATTACTATTCAAATATATGCATAATAGATTTTACACCTTGTGAGTGGTGGATAATTTATGTGATGTGAGTTGCTGGTGTCCAGCATGCCTTCTACACACAGACAGGCCAGGAGAATGATGGACTGCTGTAAACTCCTGCTTACAGTATACTATACAGTTCAAAAGATGCTTTTGTATTTGCTGCCATCCAATTGAAATATATAATCTTTCAACCTGAAAATCAAGCAGTATCAGTGTTAACTTAGGTAGAAAGTGTTATTTGTGTGATTAGTGTCTTAATGTATCTTAAAATCTACATTTGCTTCTTTTAAGATATTAATGTGAATGCAGTATAACAATTTAATTTCCCACCGGTGTTGATATTGTGTTCATGATTTCAAATGGCTGTGTTCTATCTTTAAATAAATGAATTCAGAGAAAGTGTGTGGTGTATTAATTCTTTAGCAGTTTGAATTTAGGTGGTATAATATTCAGATCTACTTTCTTCCTGTGTATTAAAGAACGTGACACTAAGGGTTAACTGACCATTTTCTGTACTGAAAAACTGAGTCGTTTTTAAGGTAATATTTACCCTTTTGGTCCTCTGTAAGAAACACCTGAGTGGATCTCAAAGGTAATTCAAGTGGTGTTCTCCTAAAGAACCCTCAGGAGGGAGACCAGTTAAGTTTGGAGAATATTTTTAATTCATTTGATTGATAGATACTCTACACTTGCTGTGTCCTCCAGGCATTTTTTCCCTGAGTGGCCAACTGATGCTTCTTACTCTGACAATTAAGAATAGATAGTATTAAAAAAAATAATAAAAAAATGCTCTATTCCATAACAATGAAATATCAGGAAGAGAAATTAAAGAAACAATCCCATTTACCTTTGCATCAAAAAGAATAAAATACCTAGAAATAAACCTACCTAAGGAGGCAAAAGACCTGTACTCTGAAAACAAGATGCAGATGAGGGAAAGTGAAGACAACACAAACAGATGGAAAGATATACCATGTTCTTGGCTTGGAAGAATCAGTATTAAAATGACCATACTACCCACAGCAACCTACAGATTCAATGCAGTCCCTATCAGGTTGCCAATGGCATTCTTCACAGAACTGGAACAGAAAAAAAATTAATTTGTATGGAAACACAAAAAGCCCTGAATAGCCAAAACAATCCTGAAAAAGAAAATGAGCTGGAGGAATCATGTGCCCTGATTTTAGACTATACTACAAAGCTACAGTAATCAAAGCAGTATGGCACTGGGACAAAAAGACACATAGATCAATGGAACAGGATAGCCTGGAAATAAACCCACACACTTGTGGACAATCTATGACAAAGGCAAGAATATACAATGGAGAAAAGACAGTCACTTCAGTAAGTGGTGCTGGGAAAACTGGACAGCTACGTGTAAAAGAATGAAATTAGAACATTGTTTAATACCATATACAAAAATAAAATGGATTCAAGACCTAATGTAAGACCAGGTAATATAAAACTCTTAGAGGAAAACATAGGCAAAACACTGACATAAATTGCAGCACTTTTTTGGACACATCTCCTAGAGTAATGGAAATAAAAGTAAATGAATGTGACCTAATTTAACTTAAAAGCATTTGCACAGCAAAGGAAACCATAAACAAAAGACAAGCTGCAGAATGGGAGAAACTATTTGCAAATGATGCTACTGACATGGGATTAATTTCCAAAATATACAAACAGCTCATACAGCTTAATATTTAAAAAAATAAAACCAATCAAAAAATGGGCAGAAGACCTAAATAGACAACTTGTCACTATTTGGCCATTGTTACACCCTTTTTAGTACTATCCTGTTCCAGAGAAACAGACCAACAGGGTACGTGTTTGTGTGTGTGTGTGTGTACAAATTACAGAGGCTGACAAGTCCAAAATCGGGCTGCTTGGGTTGGTTTTGAGACTGCACAAGAGGTATTACAGAAGCTTTGGGCGCAATCTAGTAAGTCAAGGTTAGTATCAGCAGTGAAAAATCAGGTTGATAGCATTTACCTTTCATGTGTTGAAAGTGGCACTTCACTTCCATGATCTTTCCCAAAACCCATAATCCCAGTCTACTGGGAAAGAACATCAGGTAACCCCAAATTGAGGGGCACTACAAAATATCATGCCAGTGTGCCTCAAAATTGTCAAGGTCTAGCTTATTTGTATTGTAGTTAGTCTGTGTGAAACCAATTCCCTGAAACTTGACTTGCTTTATGGCCTAATATGCAAGTGATTCTCAAAATGTTTCATGTATGCTTGATATTTCAATTAGGCTCTAATTCTCAAATGTAGCATTTTATGTATGTTCATCATGTGTCATTTTCCCAGTCTGTGGACCTTTTGTTCTCAACACTTCAGCCTCTAAATTCCTGAGTATATACCATCCCTATGAAACACACAGTGACACACCCCAAAAGAACACTTAGCTCTAAGTCACAGGCACTCCTGTGGGCCTACTTGTATCCCAGAGGCAAAAGAAGCTTGGAGGTGGGATGAACATGAGGGGTACCCTCTAAAGTATTCATACTGTGCTATTTGTTTTCCAAACAGCACACAGACTTTCTGCAGTAAACACAAGTTAGGTTACTTTTAAAGGAATCAGTTTCCAGATCTTCAATTTCCATGTGTTCATGGAAATTTCCTAAAGTTGATGTGCTTGAAAAGATGCCTCAGGACAAGGCATCATCCCTCTTAACAATTACTCTTTTCACATTTGACAAAACAAAGGATATATAATACCTCTTAATTCATTCTGAATCTTAATACCAAGGCACTTTGGATAAAACCGCTAAACACAGAAGTAGAGACAATTTTAAATATTGGTAAGAGAACGACACTGGTTTAAAAAATCCTTAGGTGATTTTTATTTCTTTCAATGAAATTGAATCAGGATGATCTAATGAAATTACCAGTTAATAAATTTTAAAATACTTAGTGAATTCTGAAGGACTTCAAATAACTGAGTGACACTGCTGTAACAAAATCCCTTCTATTCTCTTCTTTATATTATAAAAGTTTCTTAGGACTCTATAAAAACAAAAAAAAATTGATGCTCTTATTGATATAAACTTACTCCCAGATAATAAAACATCTGGGGAAAAAAAAATCCCTGAGATCTGTTCACCCCACAAAAAGATGTATTTCTGGTAAAATTTCACTTTGTATGTTTAACAGTTCATCAACATTTGGACTATATTCTATTAGCGAACACTAAAATCTCTAACAGATCAGTCCCCCAAAATTCAGAGACAGAATATAATAAAGGTTAGTCCACACCCCCACCCCACCTGAAGTCTAAATGAATACCCAGGATTGATGGGTGGCTCTCCTCTAAGCGGCGATTCAGGAAGCCAGGTTTCTTCCTTCTCGTGTGTATACTCAGAAGCCGCATACTCCTCTGCATCAAGCTAGTAGGTGGGTAAAAGGTGAGGAGGGTTGTTGCATGGGGGAGATGTTCACAGACCAGACCTGCAAGTTCTGAACATCACTTTTCCTGATTTATTAGAATTCAATTACATAGCTACCCTGTTTACAAAGGTGGAAATAATCTAACTGCATGATAGGAAATGGTTCAGCAATCAGTTAACAGTCTCTGCCACATGGTTTATACTGTTTTAATCAATTGTGTATTTATAATTGGAGACAAACTTTAATGCTTAGAATCTTAAGGTTACAGAATAAAATTTCAAATTTAGTTGCAGAGAAGTGCAACAATTATCTTCAATGTATGACTGTCACGCATAATAAAAGTAGGATAAAATTCTTTGGAGGAAGTGGAATGGATGATGAACATCAAATCACTATGGTATTTAGATTCTTTCAGATACATTTAAAAGCACGTAACAACTATTTTTTCAAATGGCAGTATTTAACACTATCCTAAATTCTTCCCTAATACTTAAGATGAAAAAATTTAAATGTCACCTTAAAAAGTACTAGGAGGTATAAGGTTTTCAAAATTATTTTTTAAATACTTCTAGAGTTATCCCCAAAGGAGAAGAAACTTAATCATATCCCACAGTGAGGAAGCGAAGCGAAAAAGAAAAAGCCTCTGAAGCTCTCTTCTGAGTCTCTAAGCTCTTCACACCTTAACAATCTCTAAGAAAGTGACCTCTAAAGCTTACGCAGAAAACTGTTCTGGGTTCTTAAATTAGTTCACCAAGATCCCACTGTCAGAGCCAAGTATTTTAGGATCTGCTAAGGAAGGGTTTCTTATCCCTCTGTGCTATGCTTTATTTGAAATTTTACATCACAGTAAGAGAAGTTCCAAGATACTGAGACTATAACCAACAGGAAGGCCATCTTGGCAATTGCTCATCCAACTGCCCTAGAAAATATTCAGATACTAGCTCACTGCTTTCAGTCCTCTGCTTGAAGGTACAATTCTTCAAGTGATAGTGCCCTGGCCTTGCATTAAGTCCCTCTAATTCTTCTGAGCAAGTGTTCCAAAGGAAAGAAGTGATTTAACTGTTTCTCTTATCTTCTCTCAGGGCAAAAATTATAGGCCCTTGGCATCCAGTGATAATGTTCTTACCTAATTTGGGACAACTGGAAGCATACTTTTCTCAGTTCTTTATTAGCAACATAGAAAGCAAGCCAGCATAATTTTTAAATTTGGAGGCATTAAATTTCTTCCTTGTTGCAATACACAGTCTGTCTTCTGAGATGAGGCACAAAGATCTTGGTATGACTCATATGAAGAATAATGGACAACAGACAAAGTTTACAGTTTAAGTCTGTCTACTTCCTATGAAAAGGAAAAACTGTCACATGGATGTCACCTCCAAAGAAGACACATAACAGACACTAGTACGCAACATTCATTATATTTATTTTACTAAATATTATGCTTCAAAAAAACACAAACAAACCGGAAAACTTTTACTTAAAACTAGTCCAGCGAGGTGGATGGGCTGACGGCACCCACCCCCCTTCTATGTACACGGAGCTGCGACTGCCTCAGACAGCAAGCACTCAAGTACACATTGCCTTTCCTGTTGGACATGAATGAGCTTCTCTGAACCAAGAGAGACAAATGAAGTTTTACAAGATACAGGCACTTTATGTTCCCAGTTTTATAAAGAAGTCAAGTGAAAAATACTTAATAAAAGCAACTGGAACAGAGAAAGCTTTAGGAGTTCTACCATTAGTTATAGTGACTTACACTCAATGCAAACAAGACAGCATCAACAAGTAAAACAAAAGAAACAAAAAGTTTAACTGGGGTTAATGAACATACATGTAAAAAACAAATCCAATTTGCTGTAATTGGAGAAAAATGGCCATTTGAATCCAACTTAAAGATATGCCAATACTGTGATTTAACGCATCAAATCTTATGTACCTACGTAGCTGAGTAACATCTGAAAGCTTTGCAAGAGTGTGTGGTTAGTGAGAAAAGCAAAAGGTGCTTTTGATTCCACAGTATCTGATTAAACGAAACAAAGCAATTTACAAAAAAAAGTACCAAATGATACTTTAAAATAAATAGTTCATCATTTTGATGAATATATACACGTAGAGTCCACTTCTTGGGGATTTAGCTATCTAAAAGTGGCATATCACTATCCAGAGGTGCAGGAGCAAGTTCACATAAATAAAACAGTGTGGCTTCACTAGCTTCAGCTTCAGTCAATGGCTCCAGGCGAACAAGCTTACTTTGGGTTGGTTCTGGGTCCAAGCTGCTGTCCAGAAGCTCATCAACTTCTATGGGTTTATCTACAGAGGACATAACTTCTGATGATGCTGTACTCCCCTGTTCAACAGTAGAAGCAGGGTTCCCATCGAGGAATGCAAGAAGTGGAAAGGCAGTGTACTGTATAAGCTGCTTATCTATAACAAAGATAAGAAGACTGATCTTTTATCACCAGCTTATATAGAGTTCAAGCTATATGGTGGAAAAAACAGAAGCAGATGTGCATATGTGCAATCATTACCCTTATATAGCCAAACAAGAAATATCACACTTTGTGTCAGTAAATTTAAAAATGTACAAGTCAGAAAATGTATACTTTTATTCAACAATTAAGAACTGAGGGTTCTTTCAGTTCTCCTGAAGTTAAATAGGGGGGAAAAAATGACAATCTTTAAGAACTATTACCACACCAATTCAATTTCCTTTATGTGCTGGAACCTTGATACGTTATGCATAGAACTGAGACTAATACAAATCTGTGTTCAATTGTTAAGCATGGCAAAACCTTCCTTGGCCCACAGTTTCTACATAGAAATCTTTATTTAAAAAAACGAATACTACATTTATACCTACCTGTTTTGGGTTTAGATTTTCTTCCCTCTTCTGAAACTGGCTGAACTACATTGCTCTTGGTTTCTAATCCTTTATTCTCAGACTAAAAGAGAAAAAATAATATAAAAATACTTGTCTCATATTTTATATGTTCCTGAAAAATAGCAAAAAATTAAAAACTGGTAAAATATAAGAATATTGGTATGTTCTCTGAAATATATGGGAAAGGGGAGCATCAGGAAAGATGAACTAGGGAGAGAAAGAGATTTGAGTAGAGGTAATGAAACTGGCTAAGAAAACTACTGCTGTCATCAGGTGGATGAAACAAAGAACCTGAACTAGGATGACACTAAGTGCAAAAAGGAGGGAGCATTTCAACAGTAGAACAGACAGAATTTGACAAGAGTAGAAGATGGTAATGAATCAAAGATGGCTAGTTTCTAATTGCTAATGAAGAGATAATTCTTTAAACAATTAAATTCATTTTAAACAGCTTTGATTTAAAACGTATTACACATTTCTTTTCACTCACAAACAGACTATTTAGCATAACTGAACACGTTTACAGTAGCTCAGGATAACATCCTTCAAACTATTTATCCCTATAGTTGGAAGCCTCAAAGTTGAGGTGGTGTTTCTTCATTTCCTCTTTTGGCTCTTTCAATTCTTTTCTGTCATTTAAATTGCTTCTTTCAACCACTGTCTTCTCTCCTTACATCTGATTGTAAGGGGATTAATCTTTAAATGTTAAGTTCTTCAGTGCTCTTTTCAACGATGTTCAAACTGAGGTGCTGAGGTTCACAATTTTTCCTGAATAGCTGTAAGTCCCAGATATCTGCACACTTGTAAACTATATATGATGTAACAAACATACTAATTCCTATAATTTCCCTGATATTCATCACAAAATTAAGCAGTACAAGTTTCCAGACTTCATAGATAATAATGACTCCAAGACATAATAAAAACTACTTAAACTTCCACCAAAATTTACATTAAAATATTTCTCATTTAGCATTCACAATAAATAAACATTAATGAAATAATACCTTCTGTATTTTTCTACTTCCTAAAATAGGTATTTTCCAAGGATGCCACTCTTGTTATTCTAAATGCATATTAGAACCAGGATGACAAATGGGTTTCATCTCCCATACAAACTGCTGCTTATTAGTAGTGACCACTTAGACTGCTACAGTGAGGAGTATAAGGCATCCTGACTCATTAGTAAAGAGTGCTGTAATACATGTCACAAAATACCTGTCATGAGCAAGGGAATGACAGCTGATGTGTCAATTATTTAAAAACAATCTAGATTCTATAATTATGATAAAAAATCACTCTTAATTTTAATTTTTCTATAGTACTATAGAGCAATATGTAAACTTGCTGTTTAACTGCTATTTCTAAAAGCTTCTGGGAACAGGAGATGATTCAAGAATAGAGAACGACTCAATGTCTAACAATAAACAAACAGTACAGCACATTCACTAAATGAATGCATGATATGGGTTCATTCAACTTAAGGTCTAACATTCAATAATATATTTACTGAAACACAGTACTGACATGGTCTACAGATTATTATAATATAAGCCTAGCCAAACTATAGTCCAAATGCCAAATTCAGCATCCTGACTTTACTGAAAGTAAAGTTTTACAGAAGCACAGCCATACTCATTCTTTTATGTATTGTCTACGGCTGCTTTTGCACTACAAACTGCAGAGAACACCTGGCTTCATGCAAAACCAAAAATATTTAGTCTTCACAGAAAAAGTATGACAACCCCTGATATAAATCATCCAAATACTGAATGTATAATCAACCTTCTAGTTCAAAAATTCACAAATTCCTTCAACTTTAAGTTACCCAGGCTATAACTTTGAAAATGTAGAAAATGTGGTCAGGCCATCCTCACACATGACAATGGTCAGAAAAATTCTACCTCCTCACTCTTATACCTCATATTTATTTAATATGTGTTCATTTTTTACTATAAAGAACAAGAATAAAAATTTTGATTCCACTAATCTAGAATTTGTACACATTTCAGGGGACCTGATTTACCTTTTTATTCAACGAAAAACAGGGATTACAGAACAATTTGGTATAAATACAAGATAAATGAAGTATATACCTACTCAAGACAATAAGCTATACAACGAAACAGAATGATTTCTAAAGGTCTGCTCTAACAACTGCACACTGTTCTTATTACTCATTAAAAACCAGTTCTAAAGAATTTGTTAACGTCTGCTAATCCCAACTGCAGGTACTATACATTTAAGAAAATAAAACAATTACTTAAAAAAAGAAGTCCAAAATCCATACTTCACTGTTTCAACTCACCTTACCTACAAATAGTATAAATCCCTGTGCTTTTACTGTATGCTAATAAAATGAAGGAACTTATTTTAAAATACGGGTACCCTTAAATTTTCAATAAAAAAATGCTGAGAAGTTATTTATAGATGGAATAAGAATGTAAAATGAAGACACAGAACATGAAGAAATCATATTCTAATAATTTTTTTCAGTGATATACCTGAATATGCCAAATTTAGTCAGTTTATCTCCCAGCACATTGAGGGCTGATTTCACACTGGTACTTAATAGCACAAGGCACAGAAGAACTGGGCAATGATTCACCCCATAACCAAAAGCTAATTTTTCATCTAGAATTTTATTATCTTGATCACATGTATTAGGTAAGAATATAAAATGCTTTTTGTAACTGGGAGTGATACTGCTCTCTACTTACTAGGACTGTTTTCAAATTCTTACAGCTACGGGTCCTGAGCAACACAAATTAAAACTTACTTTTGTATTATTGATGTAATCTGTGGGATTCATCTGCACAGAACTAGTGAAAAGCTGAAAGACCAAACAAGAAAGATGATAAGTTTAAAAAATATTTAAAAAAAATTAACTGTGTGTTCAAAATTTCTATACAGCCATCTTGGGTGAAAAGATGTAGCTCCTGCACTAGGAAGTTTCCATATAGTAAAATAAGTTTGGAAGAGAAAAGCAGGAAAGCGGAAAGAAAAACAAAAGCAGAGCAAGCTAGCCCATGCATTAGCTGTTTTAAGAATTTCTATTCTATAAAGTAGTAGGGTAAATCACTTGAGACAAATAGTGGTTTTCCCCACCTACCCTCTCCTTCATTTCCTTTATTTTTTCCTCCCTAAAAGCCTCTGGCCTTAAATGGCACCCAGGGCTGAGTCCCTTGCCCTGACAAGAGCCTTCACTGACTACCTGCTAATTATGTGATAAACTTATAGAATCTGCTCTATGACAGTGGTTCCTAAATTACACCTCAAGTAGAGCCCTCTGACCAAATGGCTTAACTCCGTGTTGGTTCTTTTCACCTCACCTAGCAAGGGAAGCCATAAATGCAAAGACCACTGCCTACTGCACTCCTCAGACCAGTCACTTTACAAACATAACTTTTGTTTATGTCATAAGCTTCAAAGTCATCCAGTCCACAGGGATTTATTGAGCATCTAAGAAATAACTGACATCATGAAGAATACAAGATGAAGACACTATTCCTGCTCACCAGGAGCTTACAATCTAAAAGGCAAAATAAGAAGAACATCAAATAGCAACATATGATCAGATACAATCCAGTATTACAATAATAATGGATGGTGGGGCTCAAAAGTACTAAGGAGCTAAGTAAAGGAAAACAGACACACACACACACCCCGTCCCTCAGATGAAACAGAAAGTCTTGATAAAACTATGTGACATGTAGTTCCTGGAGAATGGTTAGGACTTAAAAAGGAGAGGATGAAGGAGTACATTGTTACAGCATTAGCAACAACAGAGAGCAAGAAATGGTTGTGAGGTAAGTTCTACAAATAAGATGATAAGTCCAAATAATGCAGAAGTCCTGAGTTGAATAGTAAGTTGTATACATACGGTTCAAAAGGTACGGCAAGGCCAATGAATGGACAGGACATTCTGTCAGCAATAAGAGACTTGGGAGTGGCCTGAGTAATGAAATATACTGACTAAAGCATTTTAAGAGAATGAGCACACCAAATGGTTTGCAGAATAGAATGAAATGCAGAGACGCTCCTCCACCCTCTCTAAACACTGATTCCTCTCCTTAAAGTTCCACATTCATTGTAGCCCTAAAAATATCCCCAGCTCTTCTCTTCCTTTCATTAACATTTCTTCCTTTCATAACTTTTCCTCCTACTGATCCATGAAGAGGAAGAGACTCAGTTTCTTAAGAGTAGGTAACTATACATCACTGCCAATCTCTACCAGTTCAGCTTGTACTTGCCTCAGAGGCCTGACCAGATTTTGTCCCTACTGAGAGTGGCATCTGAGGAGGACCAGCAGTATAAACTCCTCACTCCTTCTTTGCCTCAATCCCTCTACCCACTGACTCAGGGATATCTTCATGTATTCCCAGCAGACGCATGGTCTGAAGTAGGAAAATAGATCATGTATGAGGAGCTGACACAGTTGAATTCTAAGGTCAAGTCTCTCCTACTGATTCCACACTGGGTCACTTGTACTGAACTCTGCAGCAAGAACCCATGAGCTTCTCAGCATACTTATTACACGTGTTCTCTGCCATCTCAGAGAATAAGGCAACCTATGGGTAGATTTTTTATTTATGACAATACCCCAAAATTCAAGGATGAAGTAAACAATGAAGGTCTTAGATGAGAGGCAACAGTGAAAATATTGGGTTGGCCCAGAAGTTCGTTTGGTTTTTCTGTAAGATGGCTCTAGTAGCACTTAGTTGTCTTTAACTTCATTTGAAACAATCTTGCTAGACTGTATTGTGACAGCTGTCATATCAGCGTGCATTTAAAAAAAAAATTAAAATTGGTGGATTCTTATGTAGTCATTTTAATATTGAAGACGGAAGAAAAAACAGCAACATTTTCAGCATATTATACTTCACTATTTCAAGAAAGGTAAAAACGCAACTGAAATGCACAAAAAGATTTGTGCAGTGTATGGAGAAGGTGCTGTGACTGACTGACTGAACATGTCAAAGGTAGTTTGCAAAGTTTCGTGCTGGAGATTTCTCGCTGGACGATGCTCCACGGTTGGGTAGACCAGTTGAAGTTGATAGTGATCAAATCGAGACATTAATTAGAACAAGCAACATTATACCACGTGGCAGATAGCTGACATATTCAAAATATTCAAATTGAGCACTGAAAGTCACTATGAAGTTTGTTATGTTAATATATATGTTAATCGCTTAGAAGTTTGGGTTCCACATATGTTAAGTGAAAAAACCTTCTCGAACATATTTCTACATGTGATTCTCTACTTAAATGTAACGAAAACATTCCTTTTTAAAACAAATTGTGATGAAAAGTGGATACCATACAATAATGAAAAGTGGATACTGTACAATAATGTGGAACAGAAGAGATCATGCGGCAAGTGAAATGAACCACCACCAACCACACCAAAGGCCTGTCTTCATCCAAAGGTGAAGTAGTGGGATTGGGAGTCCTCTGTTATGGGCTCCTTCTGGAAAACCAAACGATTAATTCCAACAAGTACTGCTCCCAATCAGACCAACTGAAAGCAGCACTTGACGAAAAGCATCCAGAATCAGTCAACAGAAAACTCATAATCTTTCCATCAGGATAATGCAAGACTACATGTTTCTTTGATATCCAGGCAAAAACTGTTACAGCTTGGCTGGGAAGTTCGGATTCATCAGCCATATTCCAGATATTGTACCTTCAGATTTCCATTTACTTCGATCTTTACAGAATTCTCTTAATGGAAAAATATTCAATTCCCTGGAAGACTGTAAAAGGCACCTGGAATAGTTCTTTACTCAAAAAGATAAAAAGTTTTGGGAAGATGGAATTATGAAGGTGTATGAAAAATGGCAGAAGGTAGTGGAACAAAATGGTGAATATACTGTTCAATAAAGTTCTCGGTGAAAATGAAAAATTGTCTTATTTTTACTTAAAAACCGAAGGTGCTTTCTGGCCAACCCAAAAGAAAGTAGGGACGGTTTGTGAATGTTATTTTGGAAAATACACAGCCCTGGTGAACAAGGAGATAAAGAAACCAAGATTACTGTGATTACTATCCTGTGTGGGTAAACAGAAGACTGATACCACTACAGAAAATAAAGCTTAAAAAGGTAGCTAGTTTAGAAAATAAACAAAGGTTTGGTGTTAAAAACAAATAATTTAAGGCAAGATCTATCTGATGATCCCAAAGGCATGGAATTAGAATTCAAGCAAAGGTTACTTTAAAAAATATTAAGAGCTGGAGATATACATTTGAGAGCAATCCTACAAGCCAAAATCCCTCCAGAGAGGCAGGATAGAAAAAAGAAGAGAGGTAGGAAAAAACAGGATAAAAGACTAGGTACCTTGGGGAATATCCACAAGTAGAAGACAGCAAGAAAAAGGAAAGCTCTTAGAGGAAACAGAATGGTTAGGGAGATACAAAGAGAACAAAGAGGTCCAGTGCCTTTAAAATCAACAGGAAAAGTTCTACAGTAGAAAACCAATAGTGTTAAACAGTAATAGTGTTAATTACTTATAATCCTTACAAAAGCCCTTCATGTCAGGCATCAGCCATGTTTAACAGATGGGGAAACTAAGCAAGAGAGGTTAACTTTCCCAACTTAGCTAGTAAGTAACATGAGCCAAAAATGGAACCCAAATCTGTCTGATTCAAAACAAACCTTCTTCCACTAGCCCAGTGGCTTAATTTGAAGAAAAAAAAAAAAAAAAGCTGCAGGCTACTTACAGTGGATATACCAAGACAGCACAGGCTTTGAGTAAATAAGCAAGACAATCCAGGGTTTCAAAGGAAATATATAGAGTGAAAAAAAAAAGTAACGAATACAGCCACTCATTTCTACAGTTTTGTAGTAAAAGGATTGGAGAAGCAGAATGGTAAATGAGCAGAGCAACACATCAAAATGGAGATGATCTGTACCCACTGAAGGCAGTTGGAAAAGATCAAGGATAGAGAGAGAAAAACAGAGAGGCGGGGGGCAGGTGTACAAACTGGCTTTAAAAAGGAAGTACTTCCTCTAAGAAGAAAGGATATGAGATTCCACAGCTGATGAGAGTACCAGGGCATGGTGAATTATGCTCTGTGAATAGGGAAGTGTTGGCTGGATAAGGTCGTGAGGACAAAAGAACGTGACAGCTGTTCCAAAGTTAAATTAAAATGACCTACTTGAAGACTGTGAGGATTTGTAGAGTCAGAATTACAGGATTTTATTTCCTTCTTAGTGATCTAAGGGAGAGATATTCTAAAAGGTCTCAGGATTCAGATTGGGGACAAAGACTGATAGAATCAAGAAGGGCTGTCAAGTTACTGTTAAACAAGTCCAAATAGGTCATTAACATGGATGTTGCATTCATTTAAGAGAATAACATGGAAAGGAAATCTTCAAAGAAGGTGAAATCCATCCTGTGAGGCACTGATGATTTAGGAAAAATAAGTCATGTGACACTGACAAACTGTAGAATCCTCTGATGTGAGAGAAGCTGTATTTTAAGGAAAAAAATGCAAAACAAAGAACAACAAAACTTTTCAAGTAAACACAACAGGGGCTTCCCTGGTGGCGCAGTGGTTGAGAGTCCGCCTGCCGATGCAGGGGACACGGGTTCGTGCCCCGGTCCGGGAATATCCCACATGCCGCGGAGCGGCTGGGCCCGTGAGCCATGGCCGCTGAGCCTGCACGTCTGGAGCCTGTGCTCCGCAACGGGAGAGGTCACAACGGTGAGAGGCCCGCGTACCGCAAAAAAAAAAAAAAAAGAACACAACAGAAAATGTTCACAACAGGAAATGGAAATAGGGCAAAGAACAAGATTCATCTGGATGAGACCAGGCCACATAGAAAGCTTTAGGTAAGAGAGAGAGGAGTGGTAGGAACAAGAGAAAAGAGAGCAAGGTTAGTACCAGAAATGATAGACAAGGATTCAAAGTCCAGACAACATAGGAATCAAGTTCATATAGGTGGTGGTGAGGACTGGAATAGGGGAATCTTAGGACTCAATACAAAAAAATTTTAAATATAATAACATATAATACATTTGACTGAAAAACATTAATTCCCAGGGCTTCCCTGGTGGCGCAGTGCTTGAGAGTCCGCCTGCCGATGCAGGAGACGCGGGTTCGTGCCCCGGTTCGGGAAGATCCCACATGCCGCGGAGCGGCTGGGCCCGTGAGCCATGGCCACTGAGCCTGCGCGTCCGGAGCCTGTGCTCCGCAAATGGGAGAGGCCACAACAGTGAGAGGCCCGCATAACGCAAGAAAAAACAAAAAAACAAAAAAACAAAAAAAAACATTAATTCCCAAAGTATTAAGAAGTGCCTCCATGCTGTTTCCTGGCTAATTATTTATACTATTTCCACTGATTTCTATTCAATGACAATTTACTCTAGAGCAAAACATAACACAGCAACAAGTCCAGACAAGACCTGGATTTAATAGTACTGTTGAACAGAGTTGATATGTTGTTACACAGGGATTAACTGAACTTCTACTCAGAGACAAATAGTGATCACCCTCCTTCACTTTCCTGAACCCATCTGTTCATTCTAATAAACAAAACCATTCATTTAAAAAAGCAAACTGCAAAAACAGTGTAGAATTCAAGAATATGATGCACTGATTTATAAATACTATACATAAATACACAAACTGCTAGTACAACAAAGAATATTCAAAGTACCTACATCGACCAGGAGATCTGGGTCTATGCTAAACTGTCTTCCTGACAGCATGGCTTGGAAGTCCTCTAAACTGCAATCAATACTGTCAAGATAATCCAACAGCTCAACCCTAAGGAAAAAAGATTTTAAAAAAATCAAATATTAGGTTTCCTTGCTTTTATGTTTAAAATCACACTGCAGTCTAGCTAGGCAAAATATTCCTAGCAATTGCTGAATCCTTACCAATTCTTAACCTTAAAAGATCCTATTCACTATTTAGGATTCAAAAAAACTTTGTTAATTGAGAACCCACAGCCTTTATACAAAACTTTAGTATTTAAAGAAAAAAGGTTCTGCAATAACCCAGCCTGATTTATCTTTTTCCTCTATACTATAAATTATAAAATGTTTAACCTCTTACTACTGGTTATATTGCTACTAACTTCTAGTTTTCTTTTTCTATAAAATAAGTTCCTTCATAGAGACTGTATTATTCCACAGTCCTGATAAAAACACAAATACACACAATCATACACACTTTTTTAAGACATTCAAAACCAAGTACTTCATTACAGAAATCTGAGGAATTGACAAGAAGATCCCAAGACTGCTCTTGGGATAATTAAATCTTTCTCAAAATACCATCTGCAGAGCTCAGCACTAACCAGAACAGAAAGGTTGACTACATAGGTTCATAACCTGAAAGGAAAATCATTCAAAGAGAAAAAGAACATGTGAAGTAAACAAAGAAAGCAAATAAATTTAGACAACCTTTAGATGAGACTCACTTTCCCAAAAGATTGATGTTATCATTTAAAATGGAATCCATCATGGTCACAGGATCTTCTGTGGTCAGACTAGATGAGCCATTTAGCTGGACGGCACTAGACATGAGAGGGCTGGTGCCATCACTGCCTGAACTTAGGGATTCTCTGGCTGGTTCACTCTGATCTCCACTCTGAATGACAGGTGCATATTCATCTTCATTGTCATCTTCAACAATGACAATATCAGGGTACTGGCTACAGCTAGATCAGCAATATGAGAAATAACCAATTACATTCTCAGACTAATTCAATAAATTCACCCTATCCAGTCACTCTCCATGGAAACTCTCTCCCCAAACCACCTGTCAAAAGGCTTTTCTTGGGTGTGTAGTTTAATGAAAAATATTGATACTTCATATAATATAAGACCACAAAGAATCAATTAAAGGTCTTTAACTCCAAACTTTAAAAATAAGAATGAATTCTCATTACTTTTTGCTGGGAGTCTTTTTGCTGGAGGGAGGGGGGTTATGTGCTTGAATAATTTGGCTTAATTTTTCAGTTCAATAATTAAAATATGAGTCAGATATTAGTTTATCAAAGAATAAAGTAGTTTTAAATTTAGATCTCTGATAAAAAAAGAGTAATATTTTCAAAAATTGTATTTCACAATCTCCTTACTTGGAGGGATCAGATATAACATCCTCATTAGTTTCTGGAATAACTGGGATATTTTCTTCATCTGCATTATCATCAGTAACGTCATAAATAATGATATCATCTGAAATCCGCTCCCTTGGCTTTAAACCTTCAGTCCTACTGTGTGGAACCTAAAAAATCAGGTAGAAAATACATCAAAAAACTGAAAATTATTTTGACTACCAAACAACATACCATTTAAAAAATGTTAACTGGGCACTGAGATACGATGGTAAGCAAAACAGATATGTTTTCTGCCCTTATGGGACTTATACACTAAATTGGTATTAGAAGTACCAATTTACAGAGGTATGAGATGTATTATCTGCATGCTACTTAACTATTTCTTTTACTGTAAGGGACCCTAAAGATGACATGCCTCAGAATGTTTCTATGAAAAGATCTTCAAATTTTAAAGCATTTTTTATACCCAAAGAGTAAAAAAGTCTTAGGACATCATCAGAAATCTCGAACATAACCACTGGGCTGATGGGGATTATTTCATCTCAAGCTACTCTGTTTGATGCCATGTTTTATTCTTACTCATTAAATGGTTTCTTTAATAGGGGGAAAAAAACACTTCAACTATTCCACAGCCAAATGTCAGTCTGGCATTTTAGCAATTATTATCTTTTTAAACTCAGCTACAGCTATATTCAGACCATGGATACACTAATAAAAAAACATTCAATTCTCCAAAGCAAACTAAAGTCATTATTATAATAGAAAATTCTATCAATTTCAACTCTAGATAATACAGAGGCAAAAGATGCAAATCAAGTTAAATTAAGAAATCTTCACCATTTACATGAGTCTTCAATCCTAAAAAGAGGTATGCTTGATTATTTAAACAGTGGGAAGAGGAACCAGATGTCAGGTTAACTCTGACTTGCCTGGGAACAAAAATCTCAATACTTTAATAATAAATCTAAAGCAGTATTTAGAATTCTAAGATTTGAAATTAACAATGATAATCAGATATTAAAAGAAGTCTGGACTCAACTAATTGCCACTGGGTATAAGTTTGACAATTTACCCAGAGAGCTTGTGAAAAAATGAAGGTAAACAAAAATATTTTTTGAAATTGCTACAGTAAAAGAGTCTAGGTCTGTACACATTTATAATAAAAGTTGGAAACAACTTAAAATAACCAATGGACAAGTGCATAATTACATTATTATAATATTCAATTAATCTCATATAGTAGTTAAGATCAACTAAATCTCTGTGTTTAATAAATCTCAAAAGCAAGACCAAGTGAAAGAGGCCACACTGCAAAATGATATGTACAAAATAATATCATTTATATAAAGCTTAGACATATGCAAAATAATACCAAATATTGTTCATGGATTCACACATCAAATGGCCATGGGAATGACACATACTACTTCAAGATAGTGATTTATCTCTGGGTGACAGGGGAGACTGGAGAGGGAGAGAAAAATGAACTTGGGAACAGGTGACTGAGACAACTATATTTGTAATAGTTTATCTCTTAAAATAATCTAGAGCAAATGACAAAAAATGTCGTGATTTTTAAAAGCTGGAGGATGAACAGTTAGATTATTCACTAAACTTTTTCAAATGCATGACATACTGCTGTAATAAAATTTAGTTTGAGATAATAAATATAAAACAGAATTTTAAAAATTACTTTATGATGGTGATTATCAGCTGGTTCTTTCACTATGTGCTGAAACAAATTCTTCTTTTGAGCTCCATTAGTGTTTAGAAGTAGAGGTCTGAAAATCAGAAGATATACATGAAGTTCAGTGAGCAAACATACATGGAGTTTAAATTGCTTCTAATAATTTACCCACATATAAACACACTCATTTTAATAATGAATAAAAAATTTCAGTACACAAGGAACTCTTACGATTACCTCTTGGGAGGGGTATGGGGGATAGTGTATCTACGGCTTTTACTTCTCCATTCTTCTGTGTTATCTTTGTTATAATAAACATTATAAATTACTCTACCCAAATATACTTCATTGCTGACTGAACTATATAACTCTATGGTACTTACATAGTAAAAAGTAGGTAATATCACAAGGACTCAGTGGAAGTAGAGTTAATTCTACAGCATAAGCTGTAAGTATAACCAAGCTCTGCTAAAATCCTTTGCCTTACAAGATAATCTTTTTCTCCTTCTACCTATTCCTTTGTCCACTGTTTTCCTTATGTTTTAATTGTGACAAAGGTAGTTACTGACATTTATGGGTATCACAACCCATGGTCAATGTACAGGTTTTTAAAGACCCTTGTGAGTGGATTAAACATGAGATATCAAGTAAAAACTTTTTATGCTTTTTTTCAGCATGTATCCTCTTTTTAAGAGTTTCTCTCACTGAGGACTTCTAATGCTACAATAATTTGCTAATGTGAATGAAAGATGAACTCTTTATAAACCGTATGTATGTAAAATGACCATTTAGGCTATCCTAATCTCTCAAAAACAGCAAGAAGACAGTAGAAGGAAACACCACCACTCTTGAAATGTTAGAAGTATAATTTAACAAGGGAGGACTGTTCATCTGGGACAACATGCATATACTCAGCAAATGTAGACCATGATTAAATTCTAATGTTTGGTTGTCTATAGATAGGTCAAAATGTATTATTATAAAATCTTACCTTTTACGTTTTAAACTCACAAGTTGGTTATTCTGAACCAATGTAACAATAAACTGGACAATCTAAAAGGAAAATATAAACAAGAAATATTCCATCATAGATTCTTAATTCTTTAGTCTATATTACAAGTCTTATAAAATTAATGCATGTACTGTATGTCCTCTATTCTAAGTCACATAATTTCTCACATATTAACATTTTAAATTTGGATGCATCTTACAATGATATTTAAAGAAATATACCAGCATCCAGGCAGAAGAACAACCTGTGATAAAGGTGCTGCTACCTAAGATATAGAGGTACCTAGGACATCCATCTACCCATATATCTACCTATATATCTAGCTTCCTACCCACCCATCCACCTATTTATCTATCAGATATTCAGTTCAATTATTTGTCTTGATGATAAGTATCAAGCATGCCTGGATACAGATCCCTATTTTTACTTAAAATTCTTTAAAGAAGATTTTGATGCAGAAAAGAAAACTGATGTTTGACAGATATTTTTCTTATACCAGGTAGTACAATTAGAAGCAAAAGAAACTGCCAACTCTCTCAGAATAGATCTTACTATTTTCAAGTTAGAAAAAGTTTATTGGCTAACTCTAGAAAAATTATTATTGAGACACTGAACATCTGTCAAAGCTTCCTGCT